GCAGTCGTACCCATGGTAGAAACCCCAAAACTGAACTCAGGAGATGTCCCCTGACCTTTTGAACGCCAACTAAGCTTGTCCGCTCCTTCAACCACCCACCATCCTTCCTGTCCTGAAGTTTGTCAAGGTAAGAAGCATTGCAGCTTTCTCTCTTCGAATTCAAAAGCATCGACGGCATGATGCACGAACTCGAATCACATCTTGTCGGTTCCAGCGCGTTGTCCGACGTGCAGTCGCCTCCCGCCATGTGCATTAATCTCCGGTTGTGTTCCGCATATCGCTGCTGCGCCTCGACGAGCTCAAGCGCGGCATGCCGGATTCGCGACCGTGCGTCCTCCACCCACTCGGGATCGCACGCGCGAGCGGCGTCGGCGCAGGAAAAGGCGTCTGACGAGGCCTGAAGAAAATCACGTGGATCGGTGCTCCAGAACCGAGAAGAGCCTTCTACGTCGTCTTCGTCGTCGAAGTTTCCGTAGTGTGTGGAGCCTGTAACGGGTACAAATACCTCACCGCCGATTCTTCGAACATCAGTCGCGGAAACGCATCTGCGAACGACCCGTTTATCGGCTTCCATGATGACTACTAGTAGATATAGCAGCACGCAGAAACACAAGTGACGTGGAAACTCCGTAGCGGGGAGGGCGTGTGGCGATCGAGAATGTGGTAGCTCAAGTGAACGAAAGCCACCAACAAATGGAAGAACTAAATCGCTTTCTGCGCCTGTGAAACTGAAGCTGGCATCTGACATCAAAATATATCACACCAAGTTGGCTAATGTTTGAAGTGCTTGAAGCGTCGAGGAGATGGTATGTGGTGTGGTGCGTTTTATTGGAGAAAAATGTGAACGCGGGATTCATGAACCAGGGAAATGACTGCCAAAAGACACGGTTGAACAGCATTGGAGAGACCAAATGGACCAAAACTGAGGTGGCAACATAGGTGATGTGGGATGCGATGTGATAGCACCCTTGATGCTGCAGCAGACCAGCCCAGAAAGAACAGGCGGAAATGAAATCAAACAGTGGGCGAAGGGCTGATGGTAGCGGAGAGGACGTTTGGGGCGGGTGCGGTGACGGGGGGGAGGGGAGCGTGGGGGAGGGGGGGGGGTATGGAGAACAGAGCGGAAGGAATCAGGGGCCACCACCGCCACGGCATGTTATTGAAATGTAACGTCGGGCGAAGATGGCGAATGGCGGCGCACGAATTTGTAGAGGTGCACGAATGAGCTGAGGAGGAGATGGCGAATGGCGGTGGGAAGGAGGGCTATTGGTCTCTGGCGGTGAGAGAAGGGTCAGAGTTTGGCGTCGGAGCCAATTACATTAGACGAAGCGGATGTTAGTTTGGGGATTGGCTGAATGAAGGTTGGAATTTCAGGGCGGATTCGGACTTCGGCTGAATGTGATGTGATGCGCCAAGACGGAGGATGGGGTGAGGAGGGGAAACCCGTTGAGCAAGTTGACGAAAGGGACCACAGAAAACAACGAGAAATTCTAAATTCAGTTACGTATAAGCCCGATTTCTTAAGTTTTGTTGCAGGGGTATCACAAACAGTCACAGTACAGTAAATTTCTATCGTGGATTATCATAGCTCTATCACGTTTGGTCACTCGTCGAAACGGTCGATAGAAAGTTGAAGCTACTCAAGTCACTGTAGGGATTCAGGGAAAGTTTTCTCTCGCGCGCCGTTTTCGCGACAACTCTAGGTAGCTTACCTGCAAAATCTTGTTACTATTTGGTTGTCAACTGTTTAAATGACGCATAATGCGAGACGGGTTAACTGGAAGGGTATTTCTGTTCCCAAGACAAAATCAATCGAAACCCGTTCGGATGGGAATATCACCTTTTCGCATGGTGTTTAGGGTTGATGCCTCCCGAAGGATGTACCATCCTATAGGGGTTTATTGTTCTCCTCTTCACCAAAATTTGAGGCTAGAATCATGCGCGAGGTCCCCCAAAACTCTACAAAATTTTTGGTGGTTTCAAAATAATTGTTATCGTTTCATCGAGTGACCAAACGTGACATCTTTTAGAGGCGAGATGTGACCATCCGTGATAGCACTGTGATCACCCGCGATGGGAATCTACTGTACAGTGACTGTTCGTGACAGCCCTGTAACCAAACGCAATATGCAAGCTTAATTGTGACTGCCGTATAATCTCCCCAGAAGTGAGGCCCCCACTTCAGCAGCACCCAGCCACACCACCAGAAACAATGTTCACGGCACCACACCACACCAAGCTGCGCATCAAGGATTGTAATTGTAAAACACCCATTTCATCATCCATCTCGTTCATCCCAAAAGCGTGGCTTCCAAATCAGCAACCCCTGAATAGGCCTGATTAAGTGTACGTGATGTTGACTGTACAAAAAGTAATAAAAGCGGCATGCCTACACAGCAACTTTTACCAACCCTCTAAACAATATTCGCGCACCTTGATATTCAAAGGTTCATACGAGCAGGAACAGTAAAACACGGGCGAATCCGCGACCGCTTCCGCGTGCTCGCGGGAGGGATCTGCCCGCGGGTAAGAAAGAAACTAAAACCCATCCGGAAGGCATGCGGCTCGGGAGCATCAACCCTAAAATCTTAGGGTTGAGGCTCCCGAACTGCATGCAGGTCGCGATGGGGAATAGCGACGATTACTGTAACCACACACAAAGTTGACCAAATCTGGTCGCCACAGAGTCTGTGGCTGACCAAATTCGGCTGAAACGTTTGCACTGTTGATCCAAAAAGTCGAGGCCTGTGATTCGCCATGCTAGGACCGTCAGCATGGCGCATTAAATGCACTTACTGCAGCTCGCCGCAGACGTTGCGGTATTCCTTAGTGTTTTTCTACCAGTAAAAAAAACTGGCTGATATGTTGTGAGCTCCCACATTTTGGAATGAAATGCTATTTCTGTTTCTTCAAAACCTCTAGATCTGTTATGCTGATTTCAACAATGACTTGTGGGCTTGTTAATAACGGGGAGGATTTGTGGACGAATAAGAAAAGGAAAAGGCATGTGTTAAAGGCCTATGGTAGAAAGACAGCAAGGAGTAGGATGAAGGGGAGCCAAGAGTATCCCGGAGAGAGTACAAATGCAAGTGGGCCGAACGAGCCCACCATGAACCGGCATTGCTGCATGCAGACGGGAGGGAGGACGAACGGGAGGAACTTTTCAGTCGACTCAAGAGTATCCCGGAGAGAGTACGTATGCGAGGGGGCCGAAAGCGCCCACCATGAACCGGCATTGCTGCATGCACAAACAGGAGGGGGCTAGCGGGAGGAACAAAATCAGCAGTATCGTGTAATGAAATGTTGAAATGTAATGCTCAGACAATGTATTTGCGTCCCAGGCGCAAGAGGAGCAAACGCACCAACCATGCGTCAACAATGCAAGTAGGCATAGGAGAGCCAAATACGATGTAGAAGGAACATGAATGAACATGAATGCAAGGAGGGCACCAGCACGCCTTCCAAGAACCCCCCTCATGCCCAATTTCCCTCAGAACCCGATAAACCGACTCAGACTCACCCGTAGGTACGCGAGGATGGGCAGAGGGGCAGCAGCAAATTGGTGAGACGTCTCTACATTTACACTGCAAGCAGAACCACCACCTGCCACCACCTGCCACCACCTGCCACCACCTGCGACCACCTGCCACCACCTGCCACCACCTGCCACCACCTGCGACCACCTGCCACCACCTGCCACCACCTGCCACCACCTGCCATGCTCTGATGGGCCACACACACCCCGTGCTCCCATGCTGCCTCCTGTCCCCCCTGCCCCCCCGACAAGCCGACTCAGACTCACCCGGAGGTACACGAGGAAGGGCAGAGGGGCAGCAGCAGTTTGTCGAGACGTCCTCTAAATCTCAACCTCCCATCACACTCGACTCGACCTCCCTACCAGGGTTTAAGGCAAACTCACCCGGAGGTACACGAGAATGGGCAGAGGTGCAGCAGCAGCCACGAGTGCAAGCACCACCACCACCTGCCATGCTCTGATGGGCGACACGCTCCCTATGCCCCACTGCTGTCCTCTCGCCCCCCTACCCTCTCTCCAAGAACCCCCCCCACACCTCATGTCCCTCTCCTGCCACCTCCTCCTGTCCCTCCTGCTCTTGCCAGCGGCTGTAAAGGGTGAAGAGGGATCAGGAGATGGAGCGGCAGCAGAAGCAGCATCAGGAGGAGGAGGAGGAGAAAGAGGAGGAGGAGACCGGAGCCGGACTGCTTCGGATGATGCAAGCCCTCCGTTTGACCCCCTTCGACGCAGCGCCTTCACCCCGTCGCCTCCTTCACTGCTACAGCCGCTACAGCTGCTGCTGCTGCTGCTGCTGCTGCTACTTCTGATAATGATGCCATCAGCAGCAGCTGTAGTGGCAGCTGTAGCGGCCGCAGCAGTTGTAGCAGCTGCAGTGGCTGCTACAACCTCTGCAGGTAAATCCATGCAACTCCCATCCTCATCACCCTCTCTTCCCCATCCACCTGCCTTCCCTGCTGCTGCTCCCTCTTGCCTCTCCCCTCCCCATCCCACCAATGCTTGCCTCTCCTCCTCTTCCTCCCCACCTCTCCCCCCCTCCCTTCCAAACAACATCCCTCCTTCTCTCCCCTCCTCTCTTTCTCCCTCCCTCACCCCCTCTCTTGAGAGTGCAAGTTTCACCCAGCCATAGAGGGTGTGTGGGCCACAGGGTGAGAGGAGGGCGGATCGGAGGAAGAGGAGGAGGGGGAGGATGAGAAACGCGGGGAGAGTGACAAAGACCAGAAACGGCTCAACTGTTGTCACTATGTCGGGAACTGCGAGGTTGGATGTGAGAGGGGAATTGGAAAGACACGGAAAGGAGGAGGAGGAGGAGGAGAAGGAAGAGGAGGAGGGAGGAGGGATGGGTTCGCAGGGGGGAACAGCCCAGCCGTAGATCGAAAGAGATCCGACAGCGCAGGAGGGCCCGAGAGGCTGTGCCCAGAACCAGGGGAAGAGACAGAGGTAGAGGAGGAGTACCAGGGAGAGGGACCAAGCGGTGGAGTGGGATGCAGCGAGGTAGATGTGTAGTAAGAGACGTAAGAGGGCGAGGAGGGCGGAAGGGAGGCGTTTCACAAGAATGAAAAGAGAGGAGGAGAAGGGTTGTAGATGGGAGGATGAGGGGGTGCGGTGGGATAGGGGAGAGGAAGAGAGGGGTTGTGTGACTGTGGGTGGGGTGGTGGACAGAGGGTGGGGGGAGGGAGTGTGAGAGGGGCGAGAGGCATGGGAGGAGTGAGAAGTGTGAGAAGTGTGAGAAGAGGGAGAGGAGTGGGAAGAGGGAGGGGGGATGAGGTACGACAAAGCCCTAGACCCCAGGAGCATGAGAGCGAGGAAGAGGAGAGGTGTGACAATAGCGAAGGGCCAGAGATCCTCCCAGTCTGTTCCCATAATGGTCCGCTCCAGCCACGTGTGGGGGAACGGTACAGCGCGGTTGAATGCGGTGAAGGGCTGTGCAGGAGACGTGTACACTGAGACACCCCTCTCTGCTGAAGCTGAAGCAGCAGCAGCAGCAGCATCACGAGGAGGAGTGCGGTACGATACCCGGACGGCAAGCCAGAGGCGGGAGGAGGGAGAGAAGGGCGGGCGAGTGTATCTCGACGCGTCCCACGCCGCCCAGAAGAGCGGAGACGGGCGGCGAGCGCCGTCCTCTTTATTACCTCCCTTCTCCACTTCCTCCCTTGTTAGAATCACCTCCTCTACTATCTCCACTTCAACCTCCTTTCCACTCCCCACGCCGTTACCAGCATTACCAGCACTCCTCCTGCCCTCTGCACCTGTTGTTAACGGGCTACTTTCTCCCTTAAGATCCACTCGCACTACTTGCACGCCGCTCCTTTTGCCGCCCACGCCACCCAAGATGCCACCCAGAATGCCACCCACGCCGCCACCCGGCTCCCGCTCGCGATAGACAACGGCAGAGACGTTCAGGATGGGCGGCAGGGAAAAGACAAGCGCTCGGATTTCACCCCCCGCCACCCATGCTGCCACCTGCTCCCCGCTTCCTGCTCCCGCTCCCTCTCCCTCTCCCTCTCCCCCTCCCTCTCCTGCTCCCGCGCTCTTGGGCTGTGATGGTGGCAGGAAGTGAGCGTTGGGCGGGCAAGTGAGCAACACCACTGGTTGCCGTGCCAGCACCATGGGGCCTGGAGGGACAGGACAGGGGCAGTGGAGAGTAGGGGGTGGGGCAGTGGAGAGTAGGGGGTGGGGCAGAAGAGAGTAGGGGGTGGGGCAGAAGAGAGTAGGGGGTGGGGCAGAAGAGAGTAGGGGGTGGGCAGAAGAGAGTAGGGGGTGGGGCAGTGGAGAGTAGGGGGTGGGGCAGAAGAGAGTAGGGGGTGGGGCAGAAGAGAGTAGGGGGTGGGGCAGAAGAGAGTAGGGGGTGGGGCAGAAGAGAGTAGGGGGTGGGGCAGAAGAGAGTAGGGGGTGGGGCAGAAGAGAGTAGGGGGTGGGGCAGAAGAGAGTAGGGGGTGGGGCAGAAGAGAGTAGGGGGTGGGGCAGAAGAGAGTAGGGGGTGGGGCAGAAGAGAGTAGGGGGTGGGGCAGAAGAGAGTAGGGGGTGGGGCAGAAGAGAGTAGGGGGTGGGGCAGAAGAGAGTAGGGGGTGGGGCAGAAGAGAGTAGGGGGTGGGGCAGAAGAGAGTAGGGGGTGGGGCAGAAGAGAGTAGGGGGTGGGGCAGAAGAGAGTAGGGGGTGGGGCAGAAGAGAGTAGGGGGTGGGGCAGAAGAGAGTAGGGGGTGGGGCAGAAGAGAGTAGGGGGTGGGGCAGAAGAGAGTAGGGGGTGGGGCAGAAGAGAGTAGGGGGTGGGGCAGAAGAGAGTAGGGGGTGGGGCAGAAGAGAGTAGGGGGTGGGGCAGAAGAGAGTAGGGGGTGGGGCAGAAGAGAGTAGGGGGTGGGGCAGAAGAGAGTAGGGGGTGGGGCAGAAGAGAGTAGGGGGTGGGGCAGAAGAGAGTAGGGGGTGGGGCAGAAGAGAGTAGGGGGTGGGGCAGAAGAGAGTAGGGGGTGGGGCAGAAGAGAGTAGGGGGTGGGGCAGAAGAGAGTAGGGGGTGGGGCAGAAGAGAGTAGGGGGTGGGGCAGAAGAGAGTAGGGGGTGGGGCATAAGAGAGTAGGGGGTGGGGCAGAAGAGAGTAGGGGGTGGGGCAGAAGAGAGTAGGGGGTGGGGCAGAAGAGAGTAGGGGGTGGGGCAGAAGAGAGTAGGGGGTGGGGCAGAAGAGAGTAGGGGGTGGGGCAGAAGAGAGTAGGGGGTGGGGCATAAGAGAGTAGGGGGTGGGGCAGAAGAGAGTAGGGGGTGGGGCAGAAGAGAGTAGGGGGTGGGGCAGAAGAGAGTAGGGGGTGGGGCAGAAGAGAGTAGGGGGTGGGGCAGAAGAGAGTAGGGGGTGGGGCAGAAGAGAGTAGGGGGTGGGGCAGAAGAGAGTAGGGGGTGGGGCAGAAGAGAGTAGGGGGTGGGGCAGAAGAGAGTAGGGGGTGGGGCAGAAGAGAGTAGGGGGTGGGGCAGAAGAGAGTAGGGGGTGGGGCAGAAGAGAGTAGGGGGTGGGGCAGAAGAGAGTAGGGGGTGGGGCAGAAGAGAGTAGGGGGTGGGGCAGAAGAGAGTAGGGGGTGGGGCAGAAGAGAGTAGGGTGGGGTAAGAGCTAGAAATTGGAGGAGTGCGCGTTGCGCGGGCAAGTGAGCAGCACCACTGGCTGCCGTGCCACCACCATGGGTCCTGGAGGGACAGGGGCAGTCGAGAGTAGAGGGTGGGGGCCGTAGAGAGTAGAGGGTGGGGTTGAGAGTTGGAAATAGATGGAAGTGCGCGTTACACGGGCATGTGAGCAGCACACCACTGGTTGCCAGGCCAGCACCATGGGGCCTGGTGTGACAGGGTAAGGAGTGGAAAAGCAGAGACAACGAGAGTGGGCTTTAAGAGCTAGGCATCGGTGACCTGAAGGCCAGCCAGTCACCGGGCCGTGGGTTGTGATGGTAGCATGGATGCAAAGGCCTTACCCGGTGTGACACGGGCAGCTCTCTCTATCAGGAGCAAGAGCGGGCCTGAGCAGCTGCAGTCTGTGAGTGCTGCATGCCAGTCAGCGGGTCATTAGCCAGGCTCGCACCATGATGGACCGGTCCGTACCCCGGGAAAACTCGCTCCCCACTTCACCTCCTTACCTGGAATGACAGGGACTGCAGCGCCCAGGGCAAGAGGGGGACTGAGCAGCTGGAGTCTGTGAGTGCTGCATGCCAGTCAGCGGGTCAGCAGCAAAGGCCTTAGCCAGTGCTGCATGCCAGTCAGCGGGTCAGCAGCAAAGGCCTTAGCCAGAGCTGCATGCCAGTCAGCGGGTCATGGGCCATGATGGTAGCATGGATGGATGCAAAGGCCTTACCCAGTGTGACGGGATCAGCACTATCTCGATGGAGGGTGGGACTCAATAGCTGCAAGTCGGTGAATTGAAGGCCAGTCAGCGGGTCATGGGCCAGGATGCGAACCACTCTGTTGCTGCGCCAGTCACCCACCTCCCACTCCCACAACCCCGCTCCACCGCTCTCCACTCCTGCACCACCACTGCTTGCTGCCCCTCCATTTCCAACCCCCCCCACATCGGCTGCACTGCGCCTTTCTTCCCCACCCCCTGCCCTTCCACCCAGCTGCCGCCCCCTCCTCTCGTCCCCTTCTCCCTCCCACTTCCCTCCACCACCCACGGCGTGCCACCTGTACAAGTGCCGCCCGAACGTCCAGTGCAGATGCCCATTCACGAGCACCATACGATTCGCAGTACCCCTACCTGCTGCTGCTGCTGCTGCTGCTGCTGCTGCATGCCTCGACAATATATCATGCATGCGACGCGGAGAGGCAGAGGGAGATAGAGAGGACGGGGAGGAGGGCTCGCGAGTAGTAAAAGCGAGAGGGTAGTGCGAGAACACAACAGCAGGGCCGGGGGCTGAAGATAACCCCTGTGCTGACGTGTTCCATGAGGATGACGTGGCAGGGGTGGCTGGAAGCGCTGACGTGGCGGCCTCCCATTGGCTGAGGGCGGAATCGAGTGCGTCCAGGTCAGACGTGGTGGGATGGCCGAAGAAATTGGAGGGACCTCTGATGCCAACCCGGGGCGCAATGTCGATGCCTAGTAGGAGAATGGGAGGGGATGGGGATGCTGGGGGCACACAGGGGGGGAGAGAGAGGGCCAGGGAGGGGCAAAGAGGTGTCTAGAGCGGTCAGGTCAGACGTGGTGGGATGGCCTCTTATACCCACACCCACACCACAGAGGGGGAGAGAGAGAGAGGGGCAGTGGGGGGCAAAGAGGTGTTGCGAGCATTCAGGTTCAGGTCAGACGAGGTGGGATGACCGAAGAAATTGGAGCGTCCTCGTATGCTGACTGTGGAGCAATGTCGACCCCTAGCAAGAGGATGGGCGGGGCTGGGGATGCTGGGGGGGGGGGGGGGGGGGAACAGGAAAAAACAGCGGCAGGGAGCGGGGGAATATGAGTTGGAGACTGGAGGGTCCTCGTATGGCGACCCGTGGCGCAATGTCGATTCCTAGCAGGAGGATGGGCGGAGTTGGGGATGCTGGCGTGGAGGGGGGGGGGGGCGGGGAGGGTTGGGATATGAGTTGCGGAGAGGGCGGGGAGGGTTGGGATATGAGTTGCGGAGAGGGCAGGGAGGGTTGGGATATGAGTTGCGGAGAGGGCAGGGAGGGTTGGGATATGAGTTGCAGAGGGCAGGGAGGGTTGGGATATGAGTTGCGGAGAGGGCAGGGAGGGTTGGGATATGAGTTGCGGAGAGGGCAGGGAGGGTTGGGATATGAGTTGCGGAGAGGGCAGGGAGGGTTGGGATATGAGTTGCGGAGAGGGCAGGGAGGGTTGGGATATGAGTTGCGGAGAGGGCAGGGAGGGTTGGGATATGAGTTGCGGAGAGGGCAGGGAGGGTTGGGATATGAGTTGCGGAGAGGGCAGGGAGGGTTGGGATATGAGTTGCGGAGAGGGCAGGGAGGGTTGGGATATGAGTTGGAAGCTGGAGAGTCGTGTGATGCCCACGCGGGGAGCAAAGTCGATTCCTAGCAGGGGGATGGGCGGGGATGGGGATGCTGGGCGCACACAAGGAAAATGGAGGGGCCATGGGGTGGTATGTAGTCAGCTAAGGTCCTGGGAGTTAGAGATTGGAGGGCCCCCTCTGATGCCCACACGGGGCGCAATGTCGATGCCTAGTAGGAGGATGGGCAGGGATGGGGATGCTGGGAGGTGTAAGGGGAGAGGGGGGGGACAAGAGAGGGGCAAGATATGATTGCACGACGTTGAGATTTGGCAAGTCACTTGCGCCCGCCCAGGATGCTATACTGCAAACCAGGTCTCACCAATTCTCACCATTTCTCACCAATTCTCACCAATTCTCACCACTTCTCACCACTTCTCACCTTTCCCCGAGTCTGCTTCAAAGGGCCGCAGCACCAGCCCCTGCACTCCCCCTCTCCCACACTGCGCGCTGACACTCTGCCGCCCAAAAAAATCCCCCTTGCCGCCCCGAATCGGCACACTAAAAGCATCATGATTGCCCCTCAAATCCAGCACCCGGGGGAAAGGGGCGCAGGAGGGGCGGCTGGGGGAAATATTCTGAGTATGTTCGGTTTGTTGGGATTGAGAGGTGAGGGAGAGCGGTGGAGAGGGGGAGGAGGGCGGGTGGGCGGAGTTGATTGCTGTGCTGAGGGCGTGCATTGCTTTGGAGTATGCACACCATTCTGACTCGTTCTGTGCTGTTGTTGTGCGCTGGCGGTTCTTTGATTCTGAAGCGGATGAAATGAGAGGAAAGGGGAGGGGAGGGGGGAAAAGAGGGAACACGGAATCAGACAGCAACAGGGATGTCTTGAATTCTATCAAGGAGGATAGAGAAGCTAAGATAACACGGATAAAAATTTATGGGGCTTAGTGAGGCATAGGCACGCACATGAAACCCCATCAGAACGGTTACGAAACAGCGCATCAGCGCTCACATGCAACCCCGTCAGAACGGTTATGAAACAGCGCATCAGCGCTCACATGCAACCCCGTCAGAACGCTTATGAAACAGCGCATCAGCACTCACATGAAGCCCCGTCAGAACGGTTATGAAACAGCGCATCAGCGCTCACATGCAACCCCGTCAGAACGCTTATGAAACAGCGCATCAGCGCTCACATGCAACCCCGTCAGAACGCTTATGAAACAGCGCATCAGTACTCACATGAAACCCCGTCAGAACGGTTATGAAACAGCGCATCAGCGCTCACATGCAACCCCGTCAGAACGGTTATGAAACAGCGCATCAGCGCTCACATGCAACCCCGTCAGAACGCTTATGAAACAGCGCATCAGCGCTCACATGCAACCCCGTCAGAACGCTTATGAAACAGCGCATCAGCACTCACATGAAACCCCGTCAGAATGGTTATGAAACAGCGCATCAGCGCTTACATGCAACCCCGTCAGAACGCTTATGAAACAGCGCATCAGCGCTCACATGCAACCCCGTCAGAACGGTTATGAAACAGCGCATCAGCGCTCACATGCAACCCCGTCAGAACGCTTATGAAACAGCGCATCAGCACTCACATGAAACCCCGTCAGAACGGTTATGAAACAGCGCATCAGTGCTCACATGCAACCCTGTCAGAACGCTTATGAAACAGCGCATCAGCGCTCACATGCAACCCCGTCAGAACGCTTATGAAACAGCGCATCAGCGCTCACATGCAACCCCGTCAGCACGAACGCACGCACCTGTGAGATCCCCAGACACTATCAGCGCAGCAGGCGCTATGACGCGGACAGCTGGCACGAGGTGCACGAGGAGATCATTGGCTCTTGATGGCACGTGCACGCTGACGTGGACGTCCGACAGCTGCATCCACCACACCACTCCGCGACGAGCCTCGCCGCCCACCTCCTCCCACCGGAACCCGCCTGCTTGCCGTCCATCTCCATCAGAAAGCTGACGGCCATCCTGTTGCAGTAAGTGCCGTCCACCTCCTTTTCCTGACCTCTGACCGTCTCGTCTTAGCGAATCACCTCTTAGCGAGTCTCCTCTAAGCGAGCTTTCTGTTATAAATTCCTCAACTTCTTCGCCATGTAACCGCGGTGAAGCTGACACGAGGACTGCCAAACAGAGAAGAAAATACGCAGCGGCTGCCATCGCTTCGCGCTTTAAAGTCGCAACTAAGTTAGATCATCTCACGTGTTCGCACAGGCTGCGAACTAGCGGGAGACGAAGCTGGGCATCTATCTGCCACGCATGGCACGCAACGAGCGTATCACGCTACGCAGTTACCAAACAAACGAATACAGTAACGTACTAAACCTCGCTGGGAGCGAACAGATGAAGGAAAACTGTCAGGATAAAGGGGATGCGCCTCGGGAACACACCACCAGAAGGTGAGGTCCTTGGCGGGAATTTCAAGGTGTGACGCTCTGCTGCAAGCTCGAGGCGATACAAACAAGTTTCGAACCATTATGTGCTTATATGGGCAAACTCATATGCTACACCCCATGTAGCATTTCACTTTGGCTAACCACAATGCATCCATCATGATTCCAATCACCCCCTTTTTAAAAAACCTGTGAAGCAGCCCCATGTAGCTAGGCTATAAAATAATAATGCATATATTCTTACACTTGCCGTTGCCAGGACTACCATACCACTGATGTTCTCTTTATCGATCCTGTATCAGCGGCTCCTTATGAGACTCGCTTCTAGGTTGAGTTAAGGCTGGGAACCATTCCGTCCTTTTTCTTTCTAGGCTGGAAACCGTTCACCAAAAGCTTCAGGCCGTCCTGGCCGGGTTGTGATTCGCGTATATCGTGGCCGTTGTTTGCTTCCCAGAAGGTACTTAACCATGTCGACAACCCGTGGGACAGATGCTGCGAAGACGACGGTCAAGAGTAAATGCGTGAGTCGATTTTGCCCCTGCATTGGAAAGGCACGACAAAAGTACATCAGTAGGTGAGCTAAGCGTCAGTTAATGAGAAATAAGAAAATAACAAACTGGCAGAAAGAAGACAAGCTACGAAACAAACAAGAAAGAGATGTGTTAACTTGAGGAAATGTGCATACCTGAACACGATGAACAATCTCCCGAATCTCCTCAACATCTGCAATCTGTGCTGCTGCAAGCTCCTTCAAACTGTCCCCCCCACTCTCCTCCGCACTCTCCCCCTTACTCTCCCCTGCACTGCTCTCCACCTCACTCAAGACCCCCCTGATCCCACCAATCCCCTTGCCAACAGCACTGGCCCCATCGTCACTTCCAATCACCAGCACAGATTCCCTTCTCCCAGCACTCTCCCTTGCCACGTCAGCTCTCCTCCTCGACACATCGCGCGCCTGTCCTGCCACGTCATCAGTGTTGCTGACCCGTGGCGTGATTCCATTGGCCAGAGCATGGACGGATGACGTGGCAGCAGAGGCAGAGACATTGGTGGTGGTTGGGACTTGGGTGGGAACAGAAGTGGCAGTGGCGACGTTACTTTTGGCAGTGGTGGAGGTGGAGGGAAGAGGACGGGAGGAGAGGGAGGAAGAGGAGGATAGGGCTTGGTGGTGGTAAGGAGCAGATGCGATTGCTGAAGGGTCTCCTCCCTGCAGGAAGCAATGTGATAGCGATGTGAAGGGGTGTGGGGCGAGGAAGGAGAAGGGGAGAAAAAGACAGAAGGAGGAAGGAGAGAGGAAGGGAAGGGGGAGACAGGAAGAGAAACAAAATTGGCTAAATGGAAAAGGAACAGGAGCAGGTAGGAGAGGAAGGGGATGAAGATATAGGAAGGGGGTGAAAGCAGGCACAATGTGAGAAGTACAGGGAAAGAGGGGAGAGGTGGAAAACAGGCAATGGGAGGTAGGGAAGGAGGAAGAGGAAAGGAGACACGGGAGAGGAAGACAAGAGGAGGAAAAGAAAAGAAAAATCGAAGGGCGAGCAGGCAAGAGAAGGTGAACATGAAGAAAAAAACGAAGTCAGACGCAGTTTTTGGTGACTCGGGCAAATACCGAGATGACTTGTGAAACGCCTCAAATAAGCAGCATGACACATTGCCTTCTCTCACCAGCAGTGCTGTTAGCTTCGCCTCCAGCACCCTTATTTGCATCGCCTTCTCTGAAGCTTCCTTCTCTGCCTGCGCAGCCCTCCTCTCAGCCTCCACTGCTCTGCGCTCTGCAGACTGTGAAAATTTGGAGACAGAGAAAGAGGTGGGGACGAGGAGGGAAGCGAGGATCAAGGAAGCAGGAGGGGGTTGACTTTTGAGCCACCTCAAACCTGCACTCCTCTCAGCCTCCACTGCTCTGCGCTCTGCAGACTGTGAAAATTTGGAGACAGAGAAGGAGGTGGGGACGAGGAGGGAAGCGAGGATCAAGGAAGCAGGAGGGGGTTAACTTTTGAGCCACCTCAAACCTGAACTCCTCTCAGTCTCCACTGCTCTGCGCTCTGCAGACTGTGAAAATTTGGAGACAGAGAAGGAGGTGGGGACAAAGTGGAGAGGGAGGAGAGAGATACAAGAGTGAGGAGAGAGGAGGAGGGAGGAGCGAGATACAAGAGAGAGGAGAGAGCAGGAGAGACGAGGGAGGAGAGACTGCTGAGTGAGGAGTGTGGAGAGCTTTAGATGGTTACAAAATCCCTTAGTTGCATCTACCAGCTGAAAACACATGTTTGAGAGATCCTTAGTAGTGACCTGACCACATGGACCCCTCCAATGCCTTTACCCAGCATCCTGCTGGCACCTAGCCCACCTTCCTCAGCTTCTACCCTACCCCTGGCCATTCTGGCTGATCACAACCTGCCTGTGCCGCTTCTACCACCAAACAACACACACGCCTGTGATATCCCTTGGGGTCAGTGGAGGGATAGTCGCTCCAAACACAGACATACCTCCACTGCTTCTGACAGTCGCTCCACGTCCTGTAGGCTCAGAGACGGCTGCCCCTACCCTCTACCCTTTATGGCAGATGGTGGCATGCTTGCACCACTGGTACCAACAGCACGCACAACTGTTGAATCATAGACTGCTTCTGACAGTCGCTCCACGTCCTGCTGGCTCAGAGACGGCTTCCTTTTGTTCCTGGTGGCTGGATGGCTGTGAGGTCCAGGCATACTTCAGCTGCTTCTACCTTCACTCAAAGCCTGCGAGGTCCGTGGGTGTCAATCAAAGCATACCTCCACTGCTTCTGACAGTCGCTCCACGTCCTGCTGGCTCAGAGACGCCTGCCCCATCTCCAGCAGCTCCTGCATCAAATCCTCCGCTTCTTCCTGCTTTGACAGGGGGAAAGTTGGGGAGAGGGGGGATAAGGAGGCACACAATAAGGCGGATAAGGAGGCACAAAATAAGGGGGATTAGGAGGCACACAATAAGGGGGATTAGGAGGCACGGGATAAGGGAGTTGAAGAGACGCCTGCCCCATCTCCAGCAGCTCCTGCATCAAATTCTCCGCTTCTTCCTGCTTTGATGGGGGGAACTGGGCGATAGGGAAACAATGACAATCGGGGATTAGGGGAGGTTGGAGAGACAACTAGAGCACAAACACCACCTCCTGCATGTATGTTCCACAAACTGCCTCTGTGAGTGCTACATATAGGGGCAGCATGACGTGGGTGACTAGCCCACAAAAAAATGAGACAAAAATGACACAAGCGAATCCACTAGCCTGAAGAATTCTCTGGCACTTGAGTTGAGTGCACATTTCCACACACTAGTGCACCACACTAAACCGCACTGCGTTCATTGCAGGAGAACCCATACCACCGCACTGCACCACACTGCATAATGCTGCACCGCATTGCACTGCACTGTACCATGCTGTTGGCTTCTCTCCACACGGTGCTCTCTGGGATCTCATCGATGCTCTTACTGCAACCACCCATAACGAGGACACACAGTAGGAAGAAAAGTTATGGGGAAGCAAAGGGAGGAAAAGATTCGGGTTGTACTCAGACCATGCTTCCACCGAGTTTAGAGTTTATATTATCTATCATGCTTCTATAGAGTTCCTGCCAGGCCATAATCGCGCTCGCTCTCCCAGCGATCGCCTACCATGTTTCCCAGCCCCCTATCCTGCCCTACAGCTTTCCCACCTGTTGATCTCCCTGCCTGCATCCACTTCCTCCATCTGCTGCTTCAGCCCCTCCTCCTCTGCCTCCCACTTGCTGTTCGTCGCTGGTAGTGATGGGAGGACGGGAAGAAAGGCAGGGGAAGGGCTAAGGAAAGTGTTTGCAAACGCTCCATCTGCTGCTTCAGCCCCTCCTCCTCTGCCTCCCACTAGCTGTTTGTCGCTTGTAAACCCGGAGGGCGGGAAGAAAGAAACGCAACGAAGGCTCTAGACAGGAGGTGGAAGACGGAACCAGTGAAGTCTCAGCAGGGAGGGAGGGAAGAGGGGGCGGAGTTAAGACAGAAAGGGGAGAATGCTTCATGTGCTGCTTATAATATCCCTAAAGTGGGAGGATTAAGGAGAAGACGAAGAAACACGCACACTGGTCCCTCCTGCAAGCTGCGAAAGTCTCAACTCGCAGCTCCTCAATCCTGTAACACACAGGATTTGTGTTGCGATCTACCTAGCCCGCAGCACCAAAAAGCCCCAGAAATGCCTCATCTCCACCTGGCCCACAGCCCCATAAACGCCTCATCATGCCCACTTGGCCCCTCCTGCCCTCACTATCCCACCTGCTCCCCCTCCTGCCCTCACTATCCCACCTGCTCCCCCTCCTGCCCTCACTATCCCACCTGCTCCCCTTTCTGCCCTCACTATCCCACCTGCTCCCCCTCCTGCCCCACTATCCCACCTGCTCCCTCTTGTGTGCTGCGGAAGAGCTCAAAGCGAAGCACCTCGGATTTGGCCAGCTCGTCCCGCAGGCGAGCCACCTCCATCTGAGGATGGAATTGAAGCATCGGGAGGGAGAGGTGAATGTGGGATGGGGTGATCAACAGTAAGGAGGGGAGGGGTTGTGGGCCAAATCGCAGCACACAGACTTGGCAAGCTCGTCCCGCAGGCAAGCCACCTCCATTTGAGAGAGGCGCCAGGACGGGGAGATGAATATGGGATTGGGTGATGGGGGAGAGGAGGTTGGCCTGAATCGCAACACCTCAAGCTTGACAAACTTGTCCCGCAGTCGAGCCACCTCCATCTGAGGGTGGGTTGAGGGAAATTAAGTGATGGGGATTCAAAGGGGAACGGCCAGGGAAGTTCAAACATTGACAAGAAACACACTGGTTCAACCAGAGGAGTTGAGTTCAGAGACTGCATGTGGTAAGAGTATGAGTGGCGGGTTGACGAAACAGTGAATCAAGGGATCGGGCAGTTGGCGAAGATGGAAAGGCTCAGAGATGATATCACTAAGAAAGTTCAAGACAGTTCATCTGTACCTTGGTCATGCCTGAAAATCAGCTCACCTGTATCTTGATCGTCCCTGACTCGTCCAAATCTTCCAGCCGCTCCTCCAGTAGTGCCTGCACCATGGCTGGATTCATTTCAGCTGCCCGCTGCGCTGCCCGGCGCTTCCATTCCTCTGCACAGATTCCAGGGGGGTGGAAGGGCAGGCGCGGATGGTACAGGAGCTGGGTGGGTGCGACAAAGCCGTCAAACATGACTCAATTGGTACATCAGTGGCAGAGAATGGTTAGGGTTACATTGACTCATCATGGGGACGTCGTGGTGAGTCAATGGACTTCAACTCACCGCATCTAGCAGCCATGGATCTTAGCTCAAGCTCCAGCGCTGCTGCATGTGCCTTGGCCTCCTCTAACTGCTTGTCCTGGCAATGGGAGCGTGAGGAGAAGTATGAGACGGGGTAAGAAAAAGGACATGAGGAGGGGGGGCATGAGGAGAGAGGGGCATGAGGGGGGATTTTAGGAGGAGGGACAATGGCACGACATTCAAATCACCCACTGCTCTGTTTGGTTCACTCACTTCTGTGCTCAAATCACTCACTTTAGTGTTCGGTTCACTCACTGTTGCGTTAGTGTCACCACTTATACTAATGGAGTTCGATCCACTCACCGCTGGCGTTCGGTTCTTGAGCTGCTCCTGCAGTAGAAGGTCTTCCAACGCATCCCTCTCTTCGCACACCTGCACGTGTTTGTCACTCAAAGGTCAAAACAAGCATGCGGGCACGCACTGGTCATTTCTGATGGGGACAACACTAGTATCCGGGCACTCAAATCCTAAGGCCCCTAAAAAAATCGCCTGCAGTAGCAGGTCGTCCAGCGTATCCCTCTCCTCGCACACAAGCATTCAGGAACATTTTTGTTGAACAGGTCCATACGACATGCAGTATCGGCGCGGGAACAATGCCAAGCCAAGGAGGCGGCACAGGGACAAAGGGTCACAGACTCACTCCCAAGAAAACAAATCAGAAATCAGGTTCCATGGGGGCCAGAAGAGAGGGTTCATGACAGACAGCAGAACAGGTTTGATGAGAAGCAGTAGCGAGGACTCATGTGAGCATCCATGCCGTACCTGTTGGTAACTCGCTCGGAGCTCCTCCATCTCTCTCTCCAGATCAGCGATTCCCTTGGTCCTGCTGGAGCTCTGTAGGGCGACGCAACAAAACACGCAGGGATGAATGAGTTGGGAGTAGCAGACAATTTAGTGGAGGAGGTGAGAGTTACAAAACGGAGTCACATGGAGGGAATACAGGCTGGACCGGGGAAAAGATGTACCCACAATGAAGATTTACCTAAGAAAGTCACCAGGACGTCGCCTGAGAGACTCCAAGACATGGTATCATGAGACCAGAGAGCCATACGATGGCCGTTGGGGGTAAAAAAACTCGAGAGCTCGTTTTCCAGCAACAATGGCGGCTGTATGTGGAGCTGTGGAACCAAACGATGCCCGTGCATGGTTGATGACTGACTGATGTGGCAGACGAAAAGCGTTTCTGACAGTTATTCAGCTCACTGAGACGATAGCTTGACATGCCACCTAAGTATACCAACTACCGTTGACGACGCCGGACTGTTGAAACGAGCTTTGTTGAAAAGAGCACGCGACAAAAGACGCACTCAGTGGCGACACCAATCGGACTGATGGCGCCATCGTCCTGACTGGTTACTTCACGATATTGAAGTGACATGTTCGCGAAAGGCTTCGGATGCCTTGATTCGTGATCTTGAGGCTATCAAGAACTGGATACCGACGGAACTCACAGGAGGCAGCCGGTTTCTTTTCCAGGTGAACCAACCAAAGCTTGCCATCAACCATTTTCTGACTGAGCTTACATTGGGCGGTGCTGGTTTTTTTCCCAAGCCGCCGGTCCACTGAGCATTCCGCGTGTACGACGGCGACGCATCGATGTACACCGACGCTGACTGAGAGCCGGCGACACCAGGCAGACTGGCTTGTCATCGGGCTGAATGACTTGACGCTGACAGATACGCGGCATCGGCAGACTGGCTTGTTGCAACATCAGTCTAACGACATCATATTCATCAGACGCTGACTGAAACGCTGACGTCATCAGGCTGACTGACTCGCCCCGGCACCAAGTGAATCACCCAAAGCCTGGCATGAACCATTTTCTGACCGAGCTTACATTAGGTGGCCCTGGTTTCTTCCCCAGGCTGCCGGTCCACTGAGCATTCGGAGTGTACGAAGGCGACGCATCGATGGACTCCGACGCCGACTGATACGCCGGCGACAACAGACTCTCCATTGCAGCCTGAAACTCGCTACTGCTCTTTATTTTCCGCTTTCCCGACCCTCCATTAGCATCCCCGTTGACCGCCAGGGCGTCGACTAGAGCTTCTGACGCCAGCAGACTCGTCGTCGACTCAACGAGGTTGTGAGCCGTTCGATCCGTTCCTGAACGGTCAAGATCCGTCCGGGTATCGCCGCTGTCTGTTCTCCCGACGGAGCTAGAGACGGATTTACTGACAGGGCCTGAGGCTAAGGAAGCGGCAGGAAGATTGTTCGACGTTAGTTCTTCCAAGATTCGGTCTATGGCGTCAGATGGTGGAGAGTTCATGCTCAAGTTCATACACCAATCACCCACTGACTTGACTAGGATTAGGGTGAAGCTGGATCAGTACGAAATCACACTGCAATGAAATCTCTAGGTCCCTGGTCCAAGTTGAACTTTGAGCACCGATTTGCATTTCAGTTAAAAAACAACAGAAAGACTAGCGCTACGACGACAAGGGCTTTAGGAAATGTCACCACCTATCCTAACTAAAAAGTGAAGGGGAGCTCTGGTTCTGGCAAATGCTAGTGAAAGCTGTGGAAACTGGAGTGGAGTGGGTGGAGCAGGAAGGATGCTGCTACTGACTGAGGGGTGTGAGCTTCAGCAGCACATTCACCATCGAGAAGGTTTGGGGACGAAAGCTCTTGCGAAGAATATTTTGCTGTCGCGAAGATCGTTATGCCTCTATTGACCAGGACAGACAGGCGGCGAAAGAACGAAACTGTCCTCGCGATTCGTGAATACTGATGGCCATCATCCTTGTGACTCCGAGAATCTCAGAAATGGATGTGTGACATCCATCTTGTCTGCCAACGGTTCTTTTGCGCGGGAAACTGCATTCAACAAAAAAGTACCGATTGAAAACATTTTTCCAGAAGACTATCAGCTTCCCGTTACAGTTTGCTAGGTATGTTGGTTTCACTACATATTTGTTTCACATCCTCCTCAAACTTGTTTCTTAGCAAACCCAACATTGCCTTTGTGCAGCAATTCGAGATTAGTTATTTCGCATAGAAAACATTATCCCGCATTGACGTAGTGATTGCTTGCTCACTACTTTCATGATTTCACCAACAGCACAACCCTAGGTGTATGCATTAGGAAGCTACAGGACAAGCTGCGAAAGACACTACAGCTGTCAGAGCATTTCTTAGCTAAAGCCCTTTGCCTCAACCACACCAGCTCCTACAACACCACCCAGTATCCTTCAGAAGATGCTCCCTACATCTCCACTTGCCAGAACCGTCAACTGGGCCGTGAGAGCTGCTATACCTCCCCTCCCCCTCTTGGCACCTCATCACCTGGCCCTGATTGCAGCCCAAAGAGGACAAGAAAACAATTTGTCCCAGAAGTATCAAGACGCAGACCCCACTCAATGGTCCATGCTTGCATCACCTCCTCGTCTCCCTCTCACACACACTCTCCGCTTCGCAACTGCACTCTCTACCACCCACTCTCACACTGACTCTCACTCCCAACGAAGTACACACAGCACAAGCAAAACACTCCCTCCTAGCAATTTCGCTTGGAGTTGCCTTTGAGGATTCTCCAAAGCGACTCACCGAGAGAACCCTTAGTCCACTCCCTTTCCATCCACCTCACCTCCTTCCTTTCATCCCCTCTGCAGCGCAGAGGGCACCAGCAGAATCTCTGATTTACCCTTACGATTCTCTCCCTTCACTCCTCTCTCTCGCCACCAACTGCGTCCCACACCGACTTTCAAACCCACTGCAGTGGGGAGCACCAGCAGAAACTCCTTCTCAGCGATATCCACCCGCAAAGTCCCTCCCAGCCAGTCCTTAAGAGCTTCTCACATTCCCACCCACTCTTTCACACACCCTCACACCCTCACACACCGAGTCTCACTCCCACTGCAGCGCGGACAGCACCAGCAGAAACTCCTTCCCAGCAATATCCACCCGCACAGTCCCACCCAGCCGGTCCTTGAGAGCCGTTAGATTCACCTCCATCGCCCCCGTGCGAGCCAGCACGTTGACAGGTGTCATCTCCACATTGGCCGCCGCTCCTGCCCCTCCTGCTGCGGCAGCGGCGGCAGCAACACCCGCAGCGGCGGCGGCAGCAGCAGCACCCATCAGGTTGGTGGTGTTGCTGCTGCTGCTGCTGGTGCCGATGCTGCTGCCGCTGCTGCTGGCAGGAATCAGCTTCTCCTGGAGAGGCAGTGTAAAGGATACTTTCATCATGCCGTAAAACACTTGCCCCACCAGCCCCCCTAACGCAGTGTTGAACACCATTTTAAGTGCCGGAACCTGAACTTGCTCCTTTGGCCCGCTCCCTCTTAGATGAGTGTCATGTGCTGCTGCTGCCCCCGCTTGTGCTGCCCCTGCCCCTGCCCCTGCCCCTGCTGCTCCGGCTGCTGCTGTTGCTCCTGGTTGTGAGTCTCTACTCAAGGACGAGTCGAGCGATTGCTGCTGCCCACCTGCCCCGTTACCAGGCGCATGAGTCCCCTCCTGCTGCCCACTGCCCCCTGCTGCTACTGCTGCTGCTGCTCCAGGTGCCCCATCCCCGCAGCCTAAGCCAAGAGTCAGCACCAGGCCTTCCCCCCCTCCCCCAGCAGCAGTGGCACCAGCACCAGCAGCGGCAGCAGCACCTGCAGTATCCGTAGCAGCAGCAGAAGCACTACCACCAATCATCCCAGCACCCACCACAACAGAAGCACCAGCAGCACCGGTAGCACCACTAGCACCACTCGAGCCGCTCTGGCCCCCACCACTCCCTCCCGACCCATGCAACCGCTGCTGCCGCTGCTGCTGCCGCCGCTGGCTCTGCTGCTGATGCTGCGCCGGCAACGGCAGCAGCATCTCCTTATCCAATACCAATAAGGCCTGCCCTACCCTGTCAGGACACGCCCGCACCAGACAGGACCCTCTTCCGTCCGTCCTCCGTAAAACCGTCCAATTCACAGCTAGAGAGCGCCGAAAGGAGTCCTTATCAAGGGCTTCTATAGAGGGAAAGATGGCGGACGGGTCTGAGAAGGTGTGGTGGGCGAAGGGGACGAGGGCGCGGCCGCCCTCGTACTTGAAGGCTTGGGAGAAGACGGGGGAGCCGTGGAAGGAGAGGTCGAAGAAGAACGTGAGATCGTCCAGGTGGAATGGCAGCGGGGAGGCGCGACCCGGGCGGAGAAAACGCTTTCTGGGAGGAAGGACAGGGAGGATGAGGGGGAGGGAAAGGGGCCGGGGAGGGGAGCGGGCAAAAACGGGGGAAACGGGGGTAGAAGGGGATAAGAAATGGGGTTTGGGAGATGGAAGAAGGGGGAGAAGGGGATGAGGGCGCGGCCGCCTTCGTACTTGAATGCTTGCGAGAAGACGGGGGAGCCGTGGAAGGAGAGGTCGAAGAAGAACGTGAGATCGTCCAGGTGGAAGGGGAGGGGGGAGGCTCGACCCAGGCAGAGAAAACGCTTCCTGGAGAGAGGATGAGGGAAAGAAAGAGGAGGGAATTGCGAGAAAGGAGGGCAGGGAGGGAACAGGGGGAAAGGGCGAAGAAGAACGTGAGATCATCCAGGTGAAAGGGCAGCGGGGAGGCACGGCCGTGGCGGAGGAAACGTTTCCTGCAAGGCGGAAGAGGGGATGGGGAACGCGGAGGAAAGGGGAAAGGGGCGAAGAGTGAGGAAAAATGGGAGAAGGGGATAAAGGTGCGGCTACCTTAGTACTCGAAAACACTTGGAAGCACAAGAGGAGAGAAGAGGTAGGCACACAAGCCTTTTACCTCTTCCCCCCTGCCGTCCTTATACCCCTAGACCCAAATAAACACGAGAAGAAATGCAGGCCCTTCACAGGCCCTTCACAGGGCCTTCACAGGCCCTTCACCTCTAAAAGAAGTAGAAATCACACGAGTTACTTTTGAGTCGACTCAAAAGGTGACTTTTGAGTCGACTCAAAAAACAGGCCCTTCACCTCTAAAAAAAGTAGTTTTTGAGAATTCTCTAAAAGCAGTAGAAAGCACACGAGTTAGAAATGCAGCGGGCCACAGCAGGGCTGGCGAGAGCGATGGTGTGGCAGTGCCAGAGGGGGAGACACTGACCAACCTACAAACAGCACAAACACAAGTGCCAGCAGCTGCACAAGCCCTTCACCTGTAGAAGAGGTAGAAGCCGCACGAGTCGGATACGCGGCGGGCCACAGCAGGGCTGGCGAGGGCGGGTCAGAGCGCGATGGTGTGGCGGTGCCAGAGGGGGAGAAGCACCAGGAGAGGGGGTCGCGACAGGCACTGTGTAGCCGAATCAGCCTCACCTTTAGAAGAGGTAGAAGCCGCACGAGTCTGAGACCCGACGGGCCACAGCAGGGCTAGCGAGGTGGCAGAGAGGCTCGCTGGTAGCTGCTGAACCTGGACAAAACTACGAGCACCAACACCTGTGAAACAAGCACACACGCTACGCAGTACCTGTAAAAGAGATAGAAGCCACAGGAATCCGAGACCCGACGGGCCACAGCAGGGCTGGCGAGGGCGGGCCAGCGGGCGATGGTGTGGCGGTGCCAGAGGGGCTCGCTGGTAGCTGCTGCTCTCCACTCGCGGCACACACACGCTGCTGCTGCCAGGTCCCTCGGGGGCAGGACCCGAAAGGTGAGCTGCGGAAGAGCGGGGAGCAAGCGGGTCAACAGGGTCAAAGGGGGTCAAAGGGGGTCAACGGGGGTCAACAGGGGCTCGCTGGTGGCTGCTGCCCTCCACTCGCGGCACACACACGCTGCTGCTGCCAGGTCCCTCGGGGGCAGGACCCGAAAGGTGAGCTGCGGAAGAGCGGGGAGCAAGCGGGTCAACAGGGTCAAAGGGGGTCAAAGGGGGTCAACGGGGGTCAACAGGGGCTCGCTGGTGGCTGCTGCCCTCCACTCGCGGCACACACACGCTGCTGCTGCCAGGTCCCTTGGGGTAGGACCCGAAAGGTGAGCTGGGGGAGAGGGGGGAGCAAGCGGGTCACAGGGTCGAAGAGGGTCAACAGGGTCGAAGGGGGTCAACAGGGTCGAAGGGGGTCACCAGGGTCGAAGGGGGTCAACAGGGTCAAAGGGGGTCAACAGGGTCGAAGGGGGTCAACAGGGTCGAAGGGGGTCAACAGGGTCAAAGGGGGTCAACAGGGTCGAAGGGGGTCAACAGGGTCGAAGGGGGTCAACAGGGTCGAAGGGGGTCAACAGGGTCAAAGGGGGTCAACAGGGTTGAAGGGGGTCAACAGGGTCGAAGGGGGTCAACAGGGTCGAAGGGGGTCAACAGGGTCAAAGGGGGTCAACAGGGTTGAAGGGGGTCAACAGGGTCGAAGGGGGTCAACAGGGTCGAAGGGGGTCAACAGGGTCGAAGGGGGTCAACAGGGGCTCGCTGGTGGCTGCTGCCCTCCACTCGCGGCACACACACGCTGCTGCTGCCAGGTCCCTTGGGGTAAGGACCCGAAAGGTGAGCTGGGGGAGAGGGGGGAGCAAGCGGGTCACAGGGTCGAAGAGGGTCAACAGGGTCGAAGGGGGTCAACAGGGTCGAAGGGGGTCACCAGGGTCGAAGGGGGTCAACAGGGTCAAAGGGGGTCAACAGGGTCGAAGGGGGTCAACAGGGTCGAAGGGGGTCAACAGGGTCAAAGGGGGTCAACAGGGTCGAAGGGGGTCAACAGGGTCGAAGGGGGTCAACAGGGTCGAAGGGGGTCAACAGGGTTGAAGGGGGTCAACAGGGTCAAAGGGGGTCAACAGGGTTGAAGGGGGTCAACAGGGTCGAAGGGGGTCAACAGGGTCGAAGGGGGTCAACAGGGTCAAAGGGGGTCAACAGGGTTGAAGGGGGTCAACAGGGTCGAAGGGGGTCAACAGGGTCGAAGGGGGTCAACAGGGTCGAAGGGGGTCAACAGGGGCTCGCTGGTGGCTGCTGCTCTCCACTCGCGCGAGACGCATGCTGCTGCTGCCAGGACCCTTGGAGGCAGGGCGCGGAACGTGAGCTGGGGGGGGGCGCGGGTGGGGAGGGGAGGGGAGAGGGGAGGGGAGTAATGGTGTGATATGATTGTTTCCCTGGCACTCGCTGCAGATGGGAGAGTAGGGGGGAAGAGCAGATGGGGAGGAAGGGGAAGCAAGGGGAGCAATAGTGTGTCACTATGATATTTCCAACACTCGTATTCTCAATTCGATTGTAGCATGCCTTTTTAAAGCCCTTCTTATAATGTACAGACAGTCCTCTTTAGCTGAACATACCACGATAATTAGAAAGGCCAAACAAGACGTCTGCCAAACATGAGCTTCTAGGAAAATAGAAACAAAGCAGCACAAAAATGTGTGTCTGTGTGGTTGCATGCGTGCATGTGTGCATTGTGTGTGTGTAGCTTCTGATTATAAACATTAATCTATCAACAAACAGTTTCTCTGCTTCTCAATCCACTCACCTCTAGGACCGAAGGGTGCGATGAAATGTCAGACGACCGGCTGTTCTTCCTTGTAAACATGTGTCGCGGGGATGGCAGCGGTGCTCCTGCTGCTGTTGTCGGTGTTGCTGCTGCTGCTGCTGCTACTGGTGCTGGTGGTGCTGATGCTGCTGGTGCTGCTGCTAGTGCTGTTGATGCTGCCGCTCCTCCTCCTGCCCTTCCAGCTCCTGCTGTTGCTGCTGTCGCCATTGCTCCGGCTTGTTCTGTAACACGCTCCTGTGCGGCAGGTACGGCAGTAGGAACGGCAGGAGGCATGACAGCAGGCATGGCAGCTGGTACGGCAGCAACGGCACCTGAAACGATGGGGGCACCTGACGAAACACCTGCGTTTTGATGCCAATGAATCCGACTCTGTTGCTGCTGATGCGACTGGTGCTGCTGCTGCTGCTGCTGCTGCTGCTGCTGCTGTTGCTGACTATGCCCGTTGTGCTGATGCTGGTTTGCACTAGAGTTTCTGTCGACACCCGCACTGACCGTGCCGTGACAGAACACACCTGGGTTTAGGACACTAGACCCTCCTGATCCCCCTCTATTGGAACACGGTATTAATAGCACCGAATCTAGAAGCATTTCCTCTTCGCCTCCGGCTCCCCCTCTTGCTCCAGTCCCCCCTCCCCCTCCCCCTCCTGCTCCACCTCTTCCTCCGCCGTCCATCCCCCCTGTCCTTCCCCCTGACCGCTTCCGCTCAAACCCTTCTCCCTTCGCGGACGGGACTATGTCAAAGGGGAGCGGAGGCGGAGTGGACGGGGGAGCGGGGTAGGGGGAGCCTTGCGTGGGATAGGGAGAGCCTTGCGCGTGATACGGGGAGCCTTGTCCGGGGTAGGGGGAGCCTTGCGCGGGATATGGGGAAACTTGTGCGGGATAGGAGGTGACTAGTGCGGGGTAAGAGGAGACTTGTGCGCTGTAGGGGGAGACTTGATCGGGGTAAGGGGGATCTTGCGGGAGCGGAACGGGCTGAGACGAGGCGGGCGCGGATGGGCGATGCGGAGGCTGCATGCTTGCCGCGGGGAGGGCGCGGGGACACCTAACTGCGTAGCCCGCAGTTCGCGCGTTTAGAGGGTTGCAGACACGCCGGGTTGGGGTGTTGCGCGTATAAAAGGAGAGAGGCGTGGGGAAGCTGCGGAGAAGCAGGAAGGCAGGTAACAGTAAGCGGGAGGAGCCGGGAAAATGTGAACTGCAAGCGCAGGCGGAACGGGGGAGGCGGGCGGAAACCCTAATATACTCGGGATTAGATTTTCGAAGGGAATGAGAACCGGGGGAAAAGGCGGCGTGGAAGTGGAATTGTCTGCAGGGTCAGATCTCGTTAAGATTGTTGCGGTAACGCGCCGCCATGACCACAAAGTTCGCACTATCCGAGGATTTTATTTTCAGCAAATCTTGAAAAAACCAGAACCCCATCCACGCCGAAAGGTCGAGCGGACCGGCCGAGGAGCCAACCAAATTGCCACTCGCTACAGTCACAGCTGCAATCACACCTCAGGTGACAACCACTAGGACTTCGTAACAAACACTTCGCAACAACCACTTCGCAAATGCGAGTTACATTCGCTGATCGGCGAAACCAACCTTACCCAAACCTGCGATCCAGCAAGATTGAATGGGCTTGTGTTGCAGGTCTCAACAGCGCCCCAAACCTCGATATAACCAGATCCGTCTGCAATCGAACAACTATCGTCTAGATAATCCGAGACGTATACGAATTGGCTCGCTTCTCGAGGTGTCGCTAACACCGATTTTAGCCTGATCCCTCGCTATTGCTACAGTTCGCGACTCCGTAGTAGTATCCGCCCTCACGAATTCGCAGCTTCAAAACGCAGCGTCAGAAATTGGTTGCTACTTCGGCCGTTCGTAGCACCATCCGCTTATTCATCCGATCGAACATCCGCCGTCCGATTTTCTCGTAATACGATCTTCGAGATTCGCAAGCGGATCCGAGGGTCCTGGAGGCACAAGGGATGGAGGAATTAGGTGCAACGATTCAGGTCGTATCACTGAGCCGCTACTTGAAAAGGCAAGCCAACGATATAGTTGTCGTCCTAAGGCGAAACGGCAAGAGAGCGGGGAAGATGCGTATGTGACGAGAACGACGCGAGACAGGGGGCCAGATGTCATGCGGCAAGGTGAGCAAGTTATGGAGGTTAGGGTTTCGTTTGTTTTTTAGCGGGAGACTCAGCCCGTTCGATCAGCTTCCCAAGAACAGAGAGTCCACAACACGCGAAATGTCAGATAGGCAATTTGGTTCGAGGATAAGGAAAATATCTCCAAAGAGACCGGGCGGGGGATGAGGGAACGAGGGGAGGACGGATACAATATTGGGCGGATCGACAGACCTCGTCCCTGCCTGACCGCGTCGCGCAGCTCGAAGGGGAATGACACGATGGGGAAGCGATGGACCCGTCGGAAGCGACGAGCACGACGAGGCATGACACGAGAGTATGATAGGAAAACGGAACTAGGGCAGGTGAGGGAAGAGACTTAGCTACGCCAACCCATCCCCCCAGCCCTGTGGGTTTGTTCCGATAATCGACATCAACGTGGCGATTTCGGAGAGCGGAAACGACGAAAGATAGGCCTCATCCGAACGTTGGTACCCAGGGTTGATTCAGACCAATGATAATCTGGACGATCAACGCGGCTATCATTCGAGCTCCCTCACGCAGATACTCGTTATAAACAATGAAAGACGGTCTGATGGGACGATTACCGTGATTCGAGAGGTTAATCTATCGATCACTTACATTACCGAGCACCGCCGCTGCTGATCTCCCTCATGGTTGCCAGCACCCGCTGCTGCTGGCCGTCTTGATCACCGGCGCCGGCGAAGCGAGGCGCGACGCGGCCTGACGTCGAGTTGCAAGAAGGTTTGACGACGATGCGACGAGGAGGGTTCACGAGGTTCTGATGACAGCAAGTGGGGGGCCTAACGGTGCTGGGGTTGCGGTCACTGCCACACTGAACCCTTGAGCACTCGAATCGAAGAACCTCGGCAATGGGGCGTGAGGGGAGGTCCGAAGAGGAGTGGAGTAGCGTGCAACCTCGGTGGGTTCCAAAATTAGTACAGTGAAGACCAGTTTAACAGCGCGCCGACGGGTGGTACTAATGGCGGCGATCCGTGATGCATGCGACGATCGGAGCAGCAAGGAAAAGACGATGCGTGGACCTGGAAGTAATTACAGCACACGCACTAATGAAAACAGTTCGCAGGAAGTTGCTTTGCTCCTCCCTTGATTGCAGAAGTTCGGAAGGCAGGAAATGATCTCATCCTGGCATCGTTTTGGTCCCTCGCTGCAAACATCCGCAACTAAGTCAGGCATTCGGACAACGGGACTGCCTGGCAACGAGTGATGAGAGTTGCGCAGCGCGCAGCGAAGAACCAGGACAGCACTTCATGGATTCTCCTGGGGTGTGAGTGGGTTGGAGTGGAGTGGAGCACGAGTTTTGTGCAGTAACGTGCTGTAGAGCAAGAAATGTGGACTTCCGTGCAGCAATGTAACGAGATTGAAGTACGGTTCAGTGCTGTTTGGGTGCTGTGTAATAGAGTAAAGAACCCGTTAGGAGGAGTTGGAAAAGCAGCTACTTCACTGTTTTTGGGAATCAGCTGAAAAGCAGTAACGAAGGGCAGGCTGTGCCCCTTTCCTGCCATTGACTCTCCAAGCCAATCAAATCGAGTTGATGTGTTTCAAGTACGCAACTTGGCCACCCTGGAATCATTCAAATGATTGTTCTGGCCTGATCGGGCGATAATACTGTAAGGTATCCAGTTGATGATTCCGATTTTCCAGTGTACTGTACAACATTAGGCCCACTGAAACCTCCCATTTTTAGTCGAAATTTCTTTCGAGTTGGTAATACTGTAATCTGCAACATTTGGAAACAATTTTCACACTACAAACATCTTCCCGTTCCAATGTGAATGTGACCAGCGAATTCAGCGTTCCGTTCAACAATTGGCAAGCGTCGAGGGCAAATTCACGTGGGGGGTGGCAAGCATCAAGAAGATCTGGCACCAACAGACGCAGCTGACACAGTTTGTAATGTGCCGAACGAGCCTGGGTGCCCTGAGAAGGTTTGAGGGGAAACCTCCTTTGGTAATACCCCCGGCTGTCGGTCGTAACCCGACTCCCCATGTGCTTAGGACGTGGGCCCAATCGACTTTGATCGGCGCGATCAGAGGAGCTCAATAATTTCGAGGAAGGCGGGAAGACAATTTCAGGCAATCAGGGGCAATCAGCTGATTGCGCCAACTCGATCAGACCCGATCAGACACAATCAGCCCCGATCACTTGATTGCATGTGATTGGGGCCCTGGGCGATGTAAGCGAAATGTAACACACCTCGCCATGAGGTCTCGAAAATCCTCGCTCATACAAACAAACCAGCGAGAGCTGTTCTGGAGCGGACCTTGTGCGCAGTGCGATATTTGCGTTACCACAATACTTGAATTCGCCCATCTCGCCAAAGTTGGGGTGCAACTACCAGGTAATGGGCCACCGGCTGTCATGCAAGAGCGCAGAATACTCGATGAAAATCAATTCTGATCGGGCGGCGCGAGAAAAACGATCACAAGCAATTCGATCCAATCCAACCCGGTCAGATACGAGCCGATCAAAGTCGATTGGGCCCACGTCCTTACACGCCTCCCCCCATGTGTTTACACGCCTCGCTGGGCAACGAGGTTGTTCTGTCCACTCCCAGATAAGCACATGTGTAGTCCAATTTAGTGGGGACTAGCTGTAAACGCCGCAGGGGGGATTTGATCCCCAGACCTCATCTTTTCGGCAGTGATCCAGCTAACCAGCTAGGCCACTTCAGGATGGGTGCCCTGAGAATAACCTGTCTGGGTGACTGGAAACTACCTCCAGGGCGACTGGGCTGTCTGGTTTAGGACAATCGACTTTGATCGGCTCGATCAAAGAGGATTAATAACTTATAGGAAGGCAGGAAGCCGGTTTCAGGCAATCAGAGGCAATCAGCTGATCTCAAACAGCTGATCGCTCCAACTCGATCAATCGCCTCAAACAATCCGATCAATCACGATCAGACACAATCAGTCCCGATCACTTGATTGCATGTGATCGGGGGCCTGGACGACGTTCGCGAAACGTTACACAGTTGACTAGAGGTCTCAAAAATATTTCGCTCATGCCTACGGAATGGCGAGAACAGTGTGCGAAGGCTCTAGACTCACATTGTTTGCAACGCGATTTTCACGACGTTACCACAATACATTGCGTTCGCCAGTCTTGCCGAAAATGGAAAGAAAATACATGGTAATTGTGTCACAATTTTCATACAGGCTCGTAGATTTTTGAGGAAAATTAGCTTTGATGGAGTAGCACGGGGAAAGCGATCACAAGCAATTCGAACCAATCCAACCTGATTCAATCCGATCCGAGGAAAGTCGTTTGGGCCCATGCCCTTATTTCAGTTGCCTGCATGGCCACGCAACGCTAGTCATCTGCACTGTACACTAGTTTCTGGGGGTAATTACATCAACAAACGTAGAAACATCCGCAGTCGTAACTGGCTAGGTTGGGGGAGGAGGGGTGACGGTTACTAAACCCTTCTCTTGGGTTACAGTTACAGTTCTAGATCGCAAAAGACACGGTTACTAGACCCTTCTCTTTTTTCGCACATTTTTCGTGAATCTTGGCGAGAGTCTTCCGATGCTGTACACTGATTGGCTCGGGTGCACGGAACCGAAATCGATATACAATGGCGAAATCGCGCGCATCGGCGAAAATCGTGTTTGTCTCAATTGAATCGACCTAAATTGCTCCCCGCTCGCCACGTGGGCGTTTTTCTAAATTGGATGGACCTCCCTTCCCCCCGCCCCCCCAGCCCCCTTTTCCCGCCCTTTCCCCACCGTCATTCGGGCAGCCGCATGCTCTGGCGTAAAACTCACAAAGAGTCACCATTTCCAAATTCCAGCCAGCCTCCACAGTTTCGCCACGGGTGGTTGTTCTTATTGGTCGAAAAATTGGTGATTTGTTCAGCGCGCCAGAGTAACATGCACTGGCTCCGTTTGGACGCGCCAACGCTATAGGTAGTGTAACAACGACATGGAGTGGTACCTCGATACCGATCATGTACGGTAATGTACAACCAGGCGACCAATCGACGGTCATGCTCGAGCATGATTTCTTACCAATTGCCGAGGGCGGATTTGACCGCGTACATGAACCTAATCCTGCGTTCATGAAACTTATCCTCACCGCCAACCTCTGAACATGAGCTTTCATTTTACACCAAACCGATGCTCTAGAGCGTACGCATAAACGGCCTCCTTGCATTTATCACGGCTAGAGTACAGCTCCAATGGCGCGTAATCATTAGGCCTGTCGTACCTAGGGTTGAACTCGGGAGCCGCATTAAGCTGTCGCAAGGCCTGCGCTAAGGGATTGGAGGCCATACGCACGCGTTAGACGCTACATGGTGACCAGTTTTGTCAGAGATAAGCTATGACTATTGAGTGGAGTACTAATGCGGGCCCGGATATGAGTTGCCTAAAGTAATGACTGCGTTGAGTGTCTACCCGGTATTGTAAAACGGGAGACTCGCCTAAGCTTCACAGGAACATGATGCTAACGGAAGGGTTCATGAACCGTTGAGGATCACGAATGCTTCGACCATGAAACCGTGAAGGCCGGAAATGACATGGCCAGATCCCGAAGGACACAGTACAATCAACCTGTATATAAGCCTCTCGAGTTATAATACATGGCCCAGAAAATTCCGAAATTTTGCTGGGACAAATGATGTGGCTTCCTGTACGTTCAATTACACGTGGCATGGGGTTGGTTGGTTGCTTTTCGTGACTACTTGTGGCAATTCCGAAGTTCACGCGAGAGCATGCGGCTGCCCGAATGACGGTGGGGAAAGGGCGGGAAAAGGGGGCTGGGGTGGCGGGGGGAAGGGAGGTCCATCCAATTTAGAAAAACGCCCACGTGGCGAGCGGGGAGCAATTTAGGTCGATTCAATTGAGACAAACACGATTTTCGCCGATGCGCGCGATTTCGCCATATACAATGCTCGTCTTGGGATACTATTCCCCGTCTCGCATAACTTGAGAACCAGCTTGTATTTGAGCATTAGGAGGCTCCACGCCTTTAGGAGAAGGGACACGTAGCAGAAATCAGCTTTAGTAGGCGAAAGCTCCACAAAAGCATCCCTGGCGCGCCGAAAATTAAGAAAATCTATGCTACGCCAACCTCACTCGATTCAGTTGATCACCCGGTCTCGTCGCTCATCCGCGCCCGTCGCTCACCCGCTCTCGTCGCTCACCCGCTCTCGTCGCTCACCCCCTCTCCTGCTCTCGTCGCTCACCCGCTCTCGTCCGCTCTCGTCGCTCACCCGCGCTCGTCGCTCACCCGCGCTCGTCGCTCACCCGCTTTCGTCGCTCATCCGCACTCGTCGCTCATCCGCTCTCGTCGCTCATCCGCGCTCGTCGCTCACCCGCGCTCGTCGCTCATCCGATCTCGTCGTTCATCCGTGCTCGTCGTTCATCCGCGCTCGTCGTTCATCCGCACTCGTCGCTCATCCGCACTCGTCGCTCATCCTCGCTCGTCGCTCATCCGCGCCCGTTGCTCACCCGCTCCCATCGCTCACATCACCCCTTCCCTGTATGTAACGCCTGCGGGCTGTGTTAAGGGCATTCCGCTGACGTTTACTCACTCTCCTCTTACCTTCCTCTCCCGTCGCTCAAAATCACCTATTGCGCACACTCCCCAATCCAGTTGATGTCATCCCCTCTCTCGCCACCCCCCTCTTTTCTCGTCACCCCCCTGTTTCTCGTCACTCACACTCCCCCGTCACCCTCTTCATTCCCCGCAACTACATCCATCCATCCCCTCTTCACGCTTCGCTTTCCCTGCTTTTACTTCCTTACATGTCCCCATCTTATCCCCTCGTTCCCCGCATTTACCTCCTTCCATCTCCCAAGTACCCCTCTCGTCCTCGCACTACCTCCTGCCGCCCCCCCATCTTACCCCCTCCTTCCCTGCGCATTTACCTGCTTCCATTCCCTCGTCTTACCCCTCTCGTTCCCCTACACGTATCTCCTTCCTCTCCTCCCCGCCTTTCCCCACTTTCCCCTTTATTCCATTGCGTAACACCCTGCATCCCCCCTCTAACCGCCCTCCACTTCCCAACTCACCGCCCTCCTTCCCAGCGAAGTGCCAAGCTCTCACGGTCCACCTTTCCCCCTCTCCGTCTCTTCTTCCTTACCCATCTGCATCTATCCTGCTGTTCCCTTCTGCATCTCTGCACCCTTCCTGTGCTGCATCTCTCCTCGGGGAATAGTGGCAGGGTAGTAGGAAGGGTCGGGACGTGGTAAGGGAAGAATAAGTGATGGGGAAGGAAGCAGTAAAGTGGAGCGGCAGACCTTTGTAGAGGTAGGATTTCGGGGAATGAAGAGTAACCTTATAGTTTCTGCAGATGTTTGTGTTGTTAAAAGTTAGGAGCCTTGTGAGATACATGAATTTTTTACTAAATGCGGTGGTGCCAGCAGAAGGAATGGACGTCTTGTATGAACGACCTGCAGTGGTTCAGCAGGCCATTTTGCTAAACCGTTAGGCACAACCTAAGGTTCTAGTTAAGGAACACATGTTATGGTAGCATATGTGATGCATGCTTGTGTTGTGCGGATTTTCCCGCACCGCAACCAAAACCCTGAGCTGAGCAGCACTGTGTTAACAAAATTCTGAACGTGGGGCAGGGATTTTCCACCGCACCATCCTGACGTGGGGTTCCGTACCAGGGCCTCAGATTCCAGGAATTTTACCCTGATTTCCTGGTGTTTGACCTCGGTTTTAATTGTAACCCCTGATGAATCAGCCTTTTTGTTTTTACAACCCTGATGAATCAGTGTTTTTCTTTTCCTAATCCTGATTTTCCAGTGTTTCTAGTTTGTTGACACTGACGAGTCAGTGTTGTATCGGAGACGACCCTGAAACCGGAAACTCCGTGATTCTCGCAGTTTTGCGCGCCGTCATCGTGCATGAACCCACCCTGCACCGACGCCACCCTGCGGCGCGCCCAGATACAGTTGAACGGGTTAATTTCGGGCTGTGTTGGCAAAACGGCGTAAAGAGATTGGGTGTCCCAGTTGAAGCAATGTACCGTTGTCACGTTGGATAACCTACACTTGTCATTACTTTCCATTGATGTGCACAAACAACCAAGCCTAGTGGCCCAGTGGGCCAGTGGTCTGCCTTGTTCTTTCCACCTGTTGGGCTGAGAATTTCAGCCTTAGGATCTTTGCAGAGAATAGGCTAGTAAGTGCTAGAGTAGCACAGCGGAAGTCTTGAGTGAATGTACTTGTGCTGGTATGTGAGAACAAGTAATTGATTAAAGTAAAGGGCATACAGGAATATATAGAAAAGATAGATTACAAGGAACGGTTATGTTTATCGAGACGCGTAGCGCTTTGACTATCGAGGTGGTTACTGTTCACTGAAGCGTCGCTTGCTGTTACGTAACCTCCAGGCGGTTACAGCTCGCAACCTCTAGTTGCGGTTTGATGTGGTACGCGCCTTTTCGACTTCGTACTCCTTTTGTTGTGCTTCAGTATCGGGTGAGGTTCGATACTACAGAAACGCACTAAGTCATGCGTTTATTTTCCCAACACTCCCCTTCGTTTCTGGAGTGTCGACGTGGTCAGCTTCGGTGACGTGGTCCAATCCGGTGAGCAGCATGCAGTACTCGAATTTCCCCTTTGGTAGCTTCTTGGTGAGATAATCTGCTGCCATCTCGGTGGTCGGGCAGTAATCCAGCTGGAGTTTTCCTTTCTCGATTTCGTCTTTCACGAAGAAGTATCGCAGTGCGATATGCTTGGTTCTGTTGGCGAAGCCATTCTTGTTCGCGATCCGTATCGCGGACTGGTTGTCGCTGAAAAGCGAGAAGCTGGGTACTTTCGCAATTTTCGCTTCTTCCAGCAGTTCGCGCAGGTACAGGCCCTCCTTGGTAGCAGTGCAGAGAGCAATATACTCTGCTTCAGCAGATGATAGTGCGACGAGTTCCTGCTTACTTGATTGCCAGGAGATAGTTCCGACGGGCTCAAGACGGTAGATGTAGCCGGTGCGAGAGCGACGATCGACACGATCAGCAGCATGATCAGCGTCGACGTAGCCGAGTAGTTTTAGGTCGGTCGTCGTGTTCTTGTGATATGTTAAGCCAACTGTTGGCGTCGAGATGAAGTAGAGAAGGGCACGGTTGAGTTCCTTGAGGTGACGTTGTTCTGGGCGCTTGAGGTAGGTCGCTAGTTGACTGGCGCTGTAGGATAAGTCCGGTCGGCACGTAACGGCGGCAAAGAGTAGGCAGCCCAGTTTCTGTTGATATTCCTGGATTTCAGTAGGCGACAGTGGGTTGGTTTCTTCGGTTGGATCGAGCGATAGGTGACTGTAGGGTGTTGCGATGTGCGTCGGTGTGATGCAGAAGCGTTCGGCGATAGTGCTTGCGTATTTTGAGGCGCTGAGACGAATAGTGTTGTCTTCATCGAGGATATTGAGCCCTAGATACTGCGTGACGTTGGGTGAGACTGTGAGGGGAGATCTGTCTGAAGCTCCTTTTCGAACCAGGTGACGATGGTGGTAGTTGACCCGATGTAAAGCAAATCGTCGACGTAGACGATTAGCAGAACGTAGTCGTTGTCGCGAGTGAGACGATACATGCCCTGGTCATGGGGCAGTTGGTTGAATCCGATGCGTTTGAGTCGTGCGTGCAGGTACTGCTGCCAGAGTCGCGGTGCTTGCTTAATTCCGTATAGTGATTTTAGTAGTTGGCAGACGAGGGAAGGGTCGTCGACGAACCCGTGGGGCTGTTCGACGAAGATTTCAGCGTCGACTGGGGCGTATAGAAAGGCGTTGGCGACATCGATTTGTCGGAGTGGGCGGCGGCGTGAGGCGGCGATGGCGAGAAGTATGCGCAGGGAAGTATGTCGACTGACTGGTGCGAAGGTTTCAGTGAAATCGCGACCATACTCTTGGTCGAATCCGCGGACGACCCATCGAGCTTTAAACCGTTCGATGGTTCCGTCGGAGTTGGTTTTGATCCGGAATACCCATTTTCCGGAGAGAATGGGTTTGTCTTGTGCGAGTGATGCAGGGACGATCTTCCAGGTGTTGCGGTCTGAGAGCGCTTTTAACTCCTTTTCCATGGCTTCGCGCCATTTTTCTTTGTGTTCCCCCCCCCAGAGCCTGCTTGACAGAGCGAGGCTCTTCAGGTGGCGACGAAGTCCCGTGCACTGCGGCGACGAGTCCCAGGACTTGGAGTCCGCTGGGGGTGTGACGATTCAGCAAAGGATCCTCGGGATAGACTGCTTCGTCTCCCGCTTCAGGATCAGGTGCGAATCCGGGGCCGTATCTCTCAGAGATGTCGGTGTTGACGGGTTGGGGTGTTACGTAACCATTGTCGGCGAAATGGTAGTAGGCGTCGGCATTGTTACTGTCGCGAGGGTTTTCCTCGTCCATGGGGATTGGGACGGAGCAGTAAGGAAGGGGTCCAGCAGCTTCAGAAGCGCCATCGACGTTCTCTTCTTCCCAGTCAGCAGCATCAGAGGGTGAAGCAAAGGCTCGGGAACCAGAAAATCCGCCGGTGGGGTCGACGTGGCGTGCGATGTTGTCCAGGTAATGGTTGAGGGTGAGTCGCTCGTAGAAGATAACGTCACGTGCTGCTACTGTTTCCTTTGTGTGGACGTCGAAGATTCGCCATGCTTCGTAATATTTTGCCAGCCCGAGGTGTAGACCCCACTGTGCACGTTGCGAGAATCTCCCTGCGCGTGCAGTGTGTGGGCGGTACTGTACCATACACCCAAAAACTCGTAACATTTTTGTGTTGCCCAGCTTCCCAGTCCACAACAGGTGCGGAGATGCGTTGTTGGGCAGTGATGACGAGGACAGCAAGTTGTGCAGGAGGACAGCGTGGTCCATCGCTGCTGGCCATTCTGAGTTGGGCAGTCGAGTTCCACGTAGCAGCTTTCGCATGGTTGTCTGCAGGGTCCTGTTCATCCTTTCTGCCACACCCTGCTGTTGGTGAGCGTAAGGAAGAGAGATGAGGCGTTTGATGCCTCTTTCTGCCAAGAACTGTGTGAAGCTGTTTGACTGGTACTCCTTTGCGCCATCTGACTGAAAACTCTTCAGTTTCGCTCCTGACTCTCTTTCAGCAACAGGTAGCCAGGCTGTGAAGGCTTCTAGAGCCATGTCTCGTGACGGTAAGTTGACGTGCCAGACATATCGCGTTGCGGCGTCGATGAAGGTGATGACGTAGTTCAGATCTTCACGTCCTTCCGTTCGAGGTATGTATAGTATGTCGCTGTAGACTTTCTCGAGTGGTTGATAAGCGGGGGCGCTCGGATTGTGGTGTGACGGGAACGGTTGGTGAGGCAGATCTGCTTCCGGGCAGATGAAGCAGGTGCCGCGTGGTCGTTCGAGTTCTCGTCCGTTGGGAAGAAGTAGGGCGTTCTTATCTAACACTCCGGCTCGTATTGTATTGTAGAGTGTTGTGTTTCCAGGATGTCCAAGACGTTGATGCCATATGTCTTCGGAGGCGCTGTGACCTACGGAGCGTCGATAGAAGTCTGCGTTAGCGAAGAAGGCGGCGTGAGTTGCTGCACTTCGATGGACGGCGCGTGGTGCTGGCGTTAACTGTTGGGCGGCTGTCGGTGGCGTGTCGATGATGAGAGGTGGAGGTGCGACGGAGGGACCGAGCTGTAGAGTTTCGGAAGGTTGTTCCGCGACGACGGTTGGTTCTTCAATTGCAGGTTCGGAGGTTGTTGGTGTTGTGACGGGTGCAGTTGTTGTTTCGATGACGGGTGCTGACTCAGGTGTTGTGGCTTGTGTTTGCAGGACGGCAAGCGCGTTGGTGCGTTCAGCTTCGGGAATGGTACGAGAGTACCAGAAGCCTTCAGGACTGAAGTTCGGGTCGAGGTCTGGCGGATGCGTCCAAGGTGCGAGAGCGACTATACCGTCGCTGTCTGCGGTGCCTTTGTCGGGGACGAAGTCGAGGACGAACACGTCATCTTGTTGGATTGCACGGCCGATGAAGACCCCCCCTTTTCCGTGGTAAAGACGGATTTCCAGGGCGTCGGAGTCGCACTCCAGGTGAACGCCTTTCGACATGAGTTGGCTGACGCTCAGTAAGTTAAAGCCGAGGTTGTCGACGACGAGTACTTTGTTTAATTGAAGAATAACGTTTGTTTCGTTTGACTGAAGCTCCACGACTCCTTGTTTGTTGGTGCGCAGGTTTTCGTTGTTGGCGATGGTGATGATGACGTCTCGCGGAAGACGTCGTTCGCGCTGAAGAAATCGTGATGAAG